AATTATTACCTACTTTCTTTGAATTTTTATTACATTATTTGTAGATTTTTATCCTTAATTTTTTATTTTTATTATATTTACTAGATTTGACCCGTTTTTAGTAGACTTTTTTTTGCACATTTTTTTAAATTTTTTCAAATTTTCAGACAAGGTGATTTGTTACTATGCCAGTTGGGGGGCCACCCGCCCCGGAAACGGCAAATTCCTCCCCGAAGACATCGACGCCACCTTGTGCACCCACGTGAACTACGCCTTTTTGGGGCTCAACCGCGACGGCAGTTTGCAGATTTTGGACGAGGAGAATGACATAAATCAAGGTTTGTCTTGTCTCAAATAAAATTTCGAAAAATTATTTTTTTTGTGCAGAGGGGTTGAAGCGTGTGAGCGATTTGAAGAAAATCAACCCCGATTTGAGGGTGCTTTTGAGCATTGGTGGGGCTGCTGCCGACACTGGGACCTTCACTGAGGTTGCAAGAAGTGCCGATTTGAGTCAAGCAATGGCCAATAGCGCGATTGAGTTTTTCGAAAAGTTTGATTTTGATGGGTTGGATGTCGATTGGGAGTACCCCCGAGGTGGAGACATTGGAACCTACATCGATCTTTTAACGGTTTTGAAGAAGGCTTTCGAACCCAAAGGGTATCTTTTGACCGTTGCTGTTAACTCAATTCCGGGGGAAGTTGGAGGATATGATATTCCAGCAATGTCTAAGTAACTATTTTCTTTTTTTTTCTTTAACTTTTTTTGGATTATTTATTATTTTTTTCTACAAGTATCTCTCATTTCTTACCTTAGATTTGCGTATTGTTTTCCACATTTTTAAAAAATTGATTTTTTTTGCTTTTTTTAGCATTAGTAGTATTTTTTTATATTGTACTTTAACATTTTGCACTAGATTTCTTTTTAGCTTTTTTCACAAACTTTTATCTAAAAAAATACTCTAGCTTTTTCTGTACAATTTTGTCTAAATTCTTAAAATTATTATCTGGTTTTCTTTCCTAAATTTATTTCTAGACTTTTTCGCAATGTTTCTATAGCTTCTTCTTTGTTTTTTACTTTAATTTC